CGTTCTCACAATTTTCAGCAATCTTTTCTTCACAGCAGCGCTTCAAGTTCCCCCAAGAACTTTTTAGGATCTGGATTCTGAAAGCTTGATCGCCAGCACCACATGAACACATATTGTGTCACGGAGGGGTGCAAAGTGGAATGTCCACGCTCTTTGAATTTCACAACCGGCAGCCACAACCGAGTGCCACAGCGTAGCATCTACTTCATGTGCAAGTTCACATGAACGTTCACACATGCCCCACCCACCCCACCCCACCCCACTCCCCACCCATGAATACATGCCCCAACCGACAGCCACAGCGTAGCATCTCTTTCATGTGCAAGTTCACATGAACGTTAATAAATACACCCCACCCCCTACCCATGAATACATGCCCCACCCCACCCCAACAAAACACCACGGCCGTCTAAAGGCCGTGGTCCAACTAGTTGTATCCACTTGTTGTAAGCCTGGAAACCGTTTCCATGTCAACTGGTTGCTCATAGCAAAAAGTTTTAGTTCCTCGTCGTCCTCAAGTCGTTCAGCAGCAAACTTTAAAGAATCTTCATCATCAGCTGCATCGTCCTCACTTTCATCTTGGTCACCTTGTGTCCGGCGAGCGTGACCCCATAGAAAGCACAAGTGACACTAGTGGGTTTGGGCAAAGTGGGCAGCTAACTGGATCTAAGTGGTTTTGGGCTAAGTGGCGTCCTTGCTCGGATGCACCAAGTGAAGCAACAAACTTCTCAGGTTCGTTCTTGGGAGCGTCGTCTGCACCCCGTTTTTGCCCTCTGCGTTGGAACCTCAACTTGAAGACCCAATAACATTTACATTTGACTTGGAATTGGGGCAAAAACGCGGTTTTGAGCAGTTAAGGAACAAAGACAAAGATGACAAGGTTTTCACCCACATTAATCGAAGTGAGGAAACTTGTCGGGAAGCAAGCCTCCAGCATACACATACATCTCAAGAAAGAAGTCGTCCACAAGGCCAGCTTTGACCGCAGGTTTCACAGTGACCTAGGCTGCAAACTTATAGGGGACACAGAAAACTCCATCACCACAAACATCAAACCACCAAAAACCACCAAAAACATCAAACCAGTGCGATTGAGGGGCTGCCCCAGTGATTTGGTATCGGCGGTCAATACGTCCAGTGCTACAGAAACGTCGTTCATTGATACCCAATGCCATTGCTCGGAGCACCATCACCGCCACGAACTTGCTCATACAACTGAGTTGCGAGAGCTATTGGGGGATGGAAGAAACCCATGGAAACCCAACCCATTACCTACACGTGCCAAACCTACGCCTGGAAATTGAGAGGCCATACTCATGAGATCCCTGTTGGGTGCCTGCATCCAAGCCACATAAACATCTTGTTGCAGTTTGGTCAGCCCCCAGAACAGACCTAGAAAGGTTATGAGCTCCGCAGTAACAGAATGCAGCTTTCGGAAGCAAGCCTTGCTACATCTACACGAAGACTCCCACAAAGAATCTATTCGCCGCCTGCTCTTGCCATTCATCTTGTGCCTAACGTGCTGGGTGCTAACTATGTTCCCAAGCTTTTCCTGACTCCAAACCTCAAATCTATCCAAACACACTTTTTCATTGAAGTAAAAATTTGACTGGGCCACTAAGTCAAGAAACGCCATTCGATTGGCAAATTTGGCATTCAGTTTGCGAAGTCGGTTGTCGTAGTGAGGTCTCTTACCAGTCCCCCTCCCAGTCGACGAGCTGGCAGCACCACCAGCTACAGCAGAACGTGTGGTAAAACCCTGCAGGCTAGCAAGATCTAGGCAAACCTCTGGAACGAGTGAGCCCGCACCATCCTCCAAAACATGCTTGGGAACAATTGTTTGACATGGCTCCCCAACCCGAGAAAGATATGCAATCCTTTCATTGCCTATCAACTTGGTTGTTTTCACAGGAGCTGCCTCAGCTTTCCCTTCAGGAATTCTGGGCTGCCCCTTCTGCAAGCTTTTGAGAAAGCCAAGTCTTTCCCTTGACATCTGAGCAAAATAGCTGCAGGGTCATCCCAGTTTTCCTTCTTTGTCCCAACGGCTCCTGGCAGCCAAATGTAACGAAATCCCAACCAAATGTCATGAAATCTACTTATATACATATACATACATATATATATATACATATAAATATATATATACACAAATATATATATATACAGTAGTATTATATACCAATGTTTTAAAAAAGGTCAAATGGGATTTGCAACCCGACCCACGACGGCTTGTCGATTTGTCGGCGCACTTCCATACCCAACCCAGGCTGTGGATCCACAAATCCCAGTGAATTTCATGGTTTATTGGGTATGTGATGGGGTTTATGACCAGCTTATAACTGGGAGGCTATCTTGTATATATATATATATACATACATATATATATACATATACATATATATACATATATATATATATATTTATATATATACAGTACATATACCGTATACCATTTCCGATTTCTGTCCCCATGAAGCTGGGGAGGTTATCCCCATGGCTAGATGCTGAGACTGACAGAAAAAAAGAGGCAGAGCTACGATTTCGAGATGAAAACAGAGACATTGATAATAATTAATCAATTAGTATCAATGAGTTTCTCTGAAAATTGGGTAGCCCCATCCACTGGTTAATCAATGATTAGTATCAATGATTAGTATCAATGATTAGTATCAATGATTAGTATCCCAACTGGTTAATCATGGTTAATCAATGATTATCTGGTTGGTGGTTTGGAACATTTGTTATTTTCCCCAATAGTTGGGATGATGATCCAATCAGACTAATATTTTTCAGAGTAATCTTCACCATTCGAACATATCGCCCCATGAGCTCGCGACTGTGTTTCGCTCTGCGGGAAGTAGATGCGCCCACCCAATTGGACCTGAGTTTTTTCACCGGCGATCCAACTGAGGGGTTGCTGCGAAACCATCTATTTCTATGGGCCATCTCTACCATGGCTATGTTAGTCATAACCAGAGGGTATATATCATTTATTGGTTGCATTTTACAACCAAAAATAGGAATATATGGGATATATTGATATATATGGGATACATGGGATACATGGGATATATGGGATATATGGGATATATGGGATATATGGGATATATGATTAATATGGATATATGGAATATATATATACCCTCTGGTTATGACTAACATAGCCATGGTAGAGATGGCCCATAGAAATAGATGGTTTACGGAACTTAAAAATGGTGATGTTCCATGGCAAACTGTTAGTCATAACCAGATGGTATATATAATTTATTGGTTGCATTTTACAATCAAAATAGGAATATATGGGATATATGGGATATATGATTAATATGGATATATGGAATATATATATATACCCTCTGGTTATGACTAACATAACCATGGTATAGATGGCCCATAGAAATAGATGGTTTACCTATTAAAAATGGTGGATCTTTCCATGGATATGTCAAATAACCGGTTATTTACAGTAACAGTTTGCCATGGAAAATTGGCCATTTATAGATGGTTTACCTATTAAAAATGGTGATTTTCCATGGCAATGTTAACCAGATGGTATATATGATTTACTGGTTGCATTTCCCGAAATTAGATGAAAAAAAAGTACATTTAAAGTTTCCAAAAATGGCTTTGGCTTTGATGACTTTCGCCTCTTTTTTTCATGATCATTCTGGGGCCGAAGCCGAATTTTGTCCCAGAATTGGGCAAATCCATCCCATGTCGCCCTGAGAAATCCCAGAAACTACAACTGGATATGGTGAATGGGAGATCTTCAGGATCCGATTGATTGGAGCTACCGATTCCATTTTTTTCAGGCCTATAAAATATAGGCCTGAATTTCATGGAATATGTTCTAACAATTGATATGATCTTATGTGGTACGTAAAAACGTACCTCCATTTTAGGATCCGGAAATTCCCATTGATATGAAGGCAATCAAACAATTGCAATGACAAAACGTGGGCCTTCGACCATGAGCGTTTGTTGCCACGTTGCCCAGAGATGATGTCGGATGGCAAAATCCGACAAATCGTTCCATGTTCGTGTAGGATTTTCCAAAAAAGGTCCATTTTGAGTCGAGCATCATGAGCTCTTTTTACGAAAAACACACAAATTTGGTGTCTAGGACTCTCTATGTGTCAGACAGCACCTATATAAAATATATTAAAATATCTTCTCAAACAGAAAAGTCATGTTCAACACCTTATGGAAGTTTGTGCATTCCCTTGTTTCATGAGACAACATTGTGAACTTAGGATCTGCCCAACACGTCACTCAATGCTGGAAAGGTCTGTCATCTGCCATTCGAGTCACCTTCCCCCAGCCAACCAATGTTGTTACTGTGTGTCTGGTTGGTCATTGCGGCTACTCGGCTACTACTCGGCTACTCCGATCACGATCATGATCATCGTCATCATCGTCATCATCATGCCCATAATAACAATGAAAACATTCTGACACCAATGCTGATTACACGCAATGATAATAGCAATTAACTGTAGTAACCATGATCTATCATCGCTGGGTCTCCGCACCCCAGGGGTCTGGTTGGGAAAGTTAGGAGCATCCTGCCAGCGAAGAGGATCAATGCCATGAAGATACTTATGCATACGCACAATAAAAAAAAACACACAACATTTTACCCGTAGTTTTACTACTCTGACGCAGACATAGACCTGAATCAAGCTTGGGTGCCCAGTTCCCATGTCATCCCATGTCTCTGTTGGGCGAATGTGAAGCCCCGCTCCAGCACCGTAGGGCTGCAGTGTCCAAAGCCAGAGACACAAATGAGACCTGCCACAAGCCCCTTGGCCCCTTGGGTAACACTAACCGACTAAACATTGGAATGGGAAGATGTCCTGGATCAAATCGAAAAAATCGCTGTGTTTTGTTGAGCGAACTTGGGATATTTGTGGGATATGAATTCACGTGAACTTTGTCGGCGAAGGATGCCAGGAGATCGACAGCCCGAATTGACTTGGGTGAACTTTGCCTTCAAATCTTTACCGGAAATCTCGGAACAGCTCAAATCCTGATTTCTGAGGCTGAAAATCACCTTTTTTTGGTGTACATCCCCACTTTTTGCCAGTGAAACCACATAAAATATCATGTTTAAAAATCCAAAACAAACCATGTTCGCCACATTTTTGCAGCCTCGTCGTAACTGATCGTCCGCCTTCAAGTTGGAGACCTGGCGTCGATTTCGGAAATGGTGAGGCCACCTCCAGGATTTATAAATGATGATATAATGGTTATATAAATGGGGGAATATGAGGCATATAATGGTGATTTTTTTGGGGGGTATAGATGGGTATAGCATTATGGACCATATAACTCTAGTTAATGGGTTGATCAACGAACTTTTTTCCTGGCTTCTGGTTGTAGGATATTTCATGAGGGAATAATGTGGTAAACCCAAGAATGAATAAACCATCCGCAATCGAGGTGACTATGAAATTTTGGGTAAACCCCAACTGGGATGATGGACAATCATCCCACAAGTCGTTTCAGAGATTCTGATATGACCATAGGCATCCATAGGCCATTTATGGGAGCTGAAATGGGGACTTACGATCACTAGGCTTGTGGAATGATCCTCCAAATTGACTTATAATTTGGTTAACATTTGGGATCATTTGGGGCTGTAACCACAGCCAATGGGCTTACAAACCACCAAAATAAAATTGGGGGCCTTACCTTGTAGGTAATCAGACAATCTGCTGATTTTGGTGAAGAGGTTATATACTTCTTTTTTTCAAATACTGGATTTGGAGGGTGCATGGGGAAAAAAAAACTTACAGTATTTCAGTTTGACCTACGGCCAAATGATAGAAACCAGGTTGTTCGTAGTGTCTTCATTCAGTAAAAAAAATAGTTTGAACGTTTGAACCCTATCTTCAGGATGGGCAAATTAAAAATAATAATTCTTGAAACTGTGTTTTTTCCATGGCTGACCAGCAGGGCCAGCAGGCTGCTCTGAATAGCCAAAGTGGTTGGTAATTCACCTCTGCGAATTCGACATCAAGCAGCTGATACTATAAAAATGGATTGGTTTTGTTGGGAAAATCTTAACCGGAAACCATAGAATTTCCCATTAAAAATCTGGGGCTTTCCTGTAAATGTTCCCTTAAACCAATACATTGATACTAAACAAATGCGATTCATAGAGCTCCGAAATGTCAGAACGCGCGCTGAAGAACGGAATCAAGATATGTCAAGATAATGATGCCACGTGCGGAAGCCATGTGGGGGGCTCCATGGCACACTCTGGGGCCGCAACGCCCTTCATCTCAATCTTTTTGTACTCGATTTCCATCAAGATTGCCATCCAATGTGAAACCACTGGAACCACGCGGTTCAGCAGCTTCCGAAAAGAGATCAGAACGGTAGAGGAAAACAGCAATCAGCTTTAAGGATTCTCCCATTGGATGCCTTGGAAGTCAACCATTGCTAGTCCCTTGGTGACTTCGAGCGATCGCAAAAGTAGGAGTAATGTTTGCTCGACAGGTTGACTTTGCCGGTGAAATCTGAATGTTTGTTGACCATATCTCTTTCCCGTTGTTTACTGGGTTATTTTCACAGGTTCTTGTTGGCTACCGCGATGATCCCTGAAATCTATACAGACATGGAAGTCAAGTGATTATTGCCCGGGTTGCACCTCCAAACATGATATTCGGATATTTCATGGGTCCAGCCCATCCGGAAGTAGCCACTTCGCTCTTTATCTTCAGAATCTATGAATCGATGCGAGCGGCTGTTTTCATTCGACTAAGAAGGTCATCTTTACCGAGAAACCCTAAAAATCGTAAAAATGCAGGCCGAGAACCAAAAAAACGCCTTTGAAAGGCCGTTAAAGGTTGTAAAACACCTGTTTTTTTCAACCAACATTGGGAGTGAATAATCTTGAGCAATCCCACAGGGGTTTATCAAATCCACAATTTTACTGATGGCACTTCCGCTTTTCATGGTTTAACTCTCCGTTTTTCATGGTTGAATAGCTGAATTCCCGGTTTTCATGATGTCACTTCCGTTTTCCTGGTGACCCCATTTTTTTCATTGATGGATGATCTTCCATAAATGGGAGTATCTGATATGTGTATTTGTTATATGTAAATATTTCACGTACCATCTGGTTATTTAACATAGCCATGGAAAATCCCTTATAAATGGAGGTTTTAATGGGAAAATCATCTACAAATGGGTCATTTTCCATGGCTATGTTAAATAACCAGAGGGTATATATGGTGAAATCCGCCAAAAATCCATCACCTCATCCTCCCAGTCGCCTTTCGTAGCTGATGCCGCAGCAGCAAGCTGCCGCGCTGTTCCAGATAGGGACGGCAGTGGGACCTGCCAGTCGCCACCAGCAAAAAATGGTGACTTAACCATCAAAACAAATGGGATTTAACATGACATAACCATGGAAAAATGGAGGTGTGTGAAAAACCATCAACTTTCAAAAAATAGATTGAAACAATGAAAATTTGGGATTCAACCATCCAAATATTGAATATCAACAGCCACAAAATGTGGATGTTAACATCTAAAACTTGGATTCCGAGATCAAAAATGTTTACTTAAACGTCGACAATTGAGATTGGACCATGAACAGCAAAGATTGGGATTCAATTCGTAAAAAATTCTTGTTGAAGCCATCAATATACACTCATCGAGTTGTGATTTTTACAATATGTGGCCAATCGTAGATACCAATCGCTGAGAGGGATTCCGCATCACAGCCTTCACCGCAGAATCTCAATCACCTCCTGGTTACCAGCTCACTGAGCAAGTTCCATTGCCACTGATGTGATCCGCAGCGAAAAAAAACTGCTGCAGAAGATGTTCTAATCCCGGCAAGCCATCAAACTATCAAACCTTACCCCCAATGGCTGCCCCAAATCAATGGCTGTGTTGCAGCAAGTTGCTCGAATTCAGGATCACAAATCACTGGGCTCTTGGTTTAATTTGGCGATTTTTACTGCACATTTCTGGACGGGTTTTTTCAAGGTCCCAACATGGAACTAGTTCTCCAGCGCCCATCTGGATCTCGATGTTTGCTGACTATGGCTGAGGTCAACGGGCTAGGCCTTCATATTTTAAGAATCACAAGACAGCCCAAATTGCCATTTGGGTATGGGTAAAAATTGGGTACCCCAATTAAATTGGATGGTGAATACTAAACTAGACATTCACATCTGTGGTCCCACATCGGTCTTCCATTTTGACCCACATCCATTTGTTTGGTGGCTGATATCAGGAATTCTTGTGGTTGTACTAGTTGTACCCCCTATCCTTGCTGATAAACATCCCCATTGCATCCTGATGATAGATGTCCCCGTCCCTGACCTTGTCTGGGGCTCCAAATCGAATGCCGCATTGGAGGGTAATACATTTGAAATAACCACTCGAATACTGTCTTCTGGTTTCAAGCCTGCTGAAATACGTCTTGGTCAAAAATGGATCATCATCCCATTAGCATTCAAGGCAATTAGATTTCAGAATATATACATATATATATGTGTGTGTGTGTGTCCCCCAAAGTTTGCATACACCTAAATGTGTGTAAAACCATACATAGATAAATACGGCCGTACCACGCAACCGTTCCCCCGAACCGTACCCTCGTACCATAAGACACTACCTCCGTGCCATAGGACGGTACCCCCATACGCTTAGCATGACTCTTTCGGTTTCGACTATAATTAATTAACATGTATAATATAAATCTGTGTATATACATGTCATGGTTACATATATTATACGTACATATATACTCGTGTTTACCACATGTCCTTTTGTTCGCTGTGTATACACAACAAACATATACAATAAAATTCGTTGGATATATGAACAGAGTAGGCTCCAAAACGATGCCGTTTTGAGCGCTTCCAAGGTCTGATTAGATGATACTAGTATTTACATATATGTTACCATATATTTACCATATATGTTACCATATATTTACCATTATTTACATATATTGACCTCAGATTTCCAGCTCCATGGATTTTGGGGGGGCAAGCGCATTCACCGCGCAGTCGGCCTAATGGCTTTGTGCGTGGGCCCATCTCCACGATCCGAGGACACCTCCGGAGCGATCATCCTATGAAACGTCGGTGGTTTTTCTCTCAAAAAAACATCACATCGTGGAAAAAGGACAACAACCAACAACCAACAACCAACAACCAACAACCAACAACCACCAACCACCACAACAACAACAACAACCACAACGACAACGACAACAACAACGACGAGGACGACGACGACGACGACGACGACGACGACAACCAACAACCAACAACCAACAACCAACAACCAACAACCAACAACCAACAACCAACAACCAACAACCACCAACCACAACAACAACAACAACAGCAGCAACAGCAACAACAACAACAACAACAGTTGGCAAATTATATCTATAAGACTCTTTAAGATGTATTTATAGAATAGCCGTTGGATATAACAGCAACAAGTCCTTTTCGTTGACATTTCGGCCTTCTGCAGTGGCGCCCGGGAGGTTTGAAAGACCTCCATCATGTCCTTCAGCACCTAGACGCGGGATTTCCCCAGCCCTAGCGCCTTGGACTGGGTTGAACGGTTACCATCTGGTTAACAGTTTGCCATGGAAAGATCCACCCATTTTTAAGTTCGGTAAACCATCTATTTCGATTAGGGTCATCGAAAAACCATGGCTATGTAACAAATAACCAGAGGGTGTATATATATATATATATTCCATATATCCATATTAATAATATATCCCATATATCCCATATATTTCTAGGGGCCATCGAAAAACCATGGCAAACTGTGAATGTCATAGCCAGGTTGGGTAAAGCCAAAAATCTCCAACGGCTTGTGGTTAAACCATCCCCAGATGGGAAGTTTCTGAAGTTGGCTTCGGCCCTGGGTTCCGCCCCAAGCCATGGCTCAAGCCATGCTTCTGCGGGTGAAATCAACATGTTCTGTTTTCGGTCCCTCTTTTGATGGGTGAGGAACCACACTTGAGATATGGAATTCTCTAAATGAGTCCATCATGTTCAATCACTATACTACTATACTACTGCATCAATTCACCACCTGGTCGATACATTTGCTCATTTCATTGCTTTTTCCGGGAGGAAAAAAAACCTGGAAACCTCCACATGTCCTGTAATCCCATCCCCCCCCAAAACACCTAAATGGTTCCACTGGAATATGGGAAAGTGCCACTAAACCATGGTTTCGTTTGGGGTTGTTTAGTATGCCGGATGGGATTACCCTCTGGTAAACTAACGTAACTATGGAAAATCACCATTTTTAATGGGAAAATCCACTATTTCTATGGCAATTTTCAATAGCGAACTGTTAGTTTACCAGAGGGTAAATGTTCCCTTCAAGCAACTCATTGATTTGGAGCGCACCTGTTGCTGAGCCGACTTGCTTTCGATGAACCGTGCCTCAACGCAGGTGCCCCAATCACGCTCTGGCAATCAGAATGTCATGGAAAATGGCCATGTTTTTGTTCGTAAAGCATGCACAAATGAGTAATTATTCATGACAATGTTAAATTACCAAATGGCAAAATTACTAAAACAGATGGAAACAAGTTGGTGTTTCTTTAAAATTGGGTACCAAGGGACCCACAAATTCGTTCATATGATTCAGACCATCCATTTTTGAGCCTCAATCATCTTGAACTACGCAGTGTGTAGGTAGATATATATATATATAGAGAGAGAGATGTATACATGTACATTAATGTCAATATATGATCATTCAAGTATTGACATATTATATAGCAAACCCGAAAATAGAGAAAAATAAAACCCTATGAACATTGTGATGCGCGCTACTTTTCTATCTTGTACGGGGATTACTATATCTGTCTACCATAGCCATACAAGATAGAAAAGTAGCGCGCATCACAATGTTCATAGGGTTTTACTTTTCTCTATTTTTGGGTTTGCTATATAATATGTCAATACTTGAATGATCATATATTGACATTAATGTACATGTATACATCTCTCTCTATTATCTCTATCTATCTATCTATCTATCTATTTATCTATCTATCTATCCATTTATCTATCTAATCTAATCTTATCTTATCTTCTCTTATCATCTTATCTAATCTAATCTAATCTAATCTATCTATAATTATATGTAAATGATGTGCATATGTATTATCCACATGCAGAAAATCAGCACATCCACACCCTGCACAAGGCAACTTCGACGTTCTCTACGTTCCCTTCCTTCGAAACGGTTGCGCCTTGACGCGGTCTGATTCCTTTTCTTCGGTCTCATCGGTCACCAGACCCTCCGGTGCTTCTGGTGGCTCTTCCTCCTTTGCCTTCGGAGGCGACAGGCGCCAAGAAAGGCGTACCCAGTTGGTTGGTGGTGGAAAAAAATGAGAAGTGCAAACCATGGGAAGTGTTGGTGATACCCATTTTTGGGGGGATATCTTCCTGTAACATCCTGTAACAGTTTTTTTCCTTTCAAGAAATTCAGGGAGTTGAGAAGCGGAAAGGCTCTTAAGGACCTAAGAAACCTTTGAGCAAAGCTGGCACAATCAACATCCCAACATATTGCTGAAGTTGTGCCCGGGGTGGAGCCAAAGTTCCTAAGGTCCAGGAATATGGTGTCACCGCCAGCACTGAGTGGGCCTCCGCTGCCGCAACTTGTGCCTTGTATTCTGCCAGTCGCGCCTCCGGAACAGCACAAGGCCGGAGATATCCTAAAAGATGGGAAAACCAAACAAGTTATCCCTCCAAACTCAGTATTTTCAAACTCCATATTGGAATACGTTCAGATATTTACGGGAGCTCCCTTTTTTTCAGTCATTACTCCCTACTTTCTATAGCCCCCGGCCCCAAAACCCTAGCCATATATGACCCCAGGATCCAAAATGGAGGTCATCCTGCGAAACTGGAGCCCGATCGCCCCGAGCCTCGTAGTCCCGGTCGATGCTTTCGAAATCAAAGGTCTTCTTGGCAGCGAAGTCATTCTTGCACTTCCTGGGCTCATCTGAAAGTGGCTTCTCTAAAAGTCATCTAAATGTCATAGGAAAAGCTCCATTTTGGGTGATATTCACGGCGCAATCCCTGGGGATCGCGACATCTCCTGAAAAACCGCCAGTTGGTGGGATGAACTTTCCGGCTTCATTGGCTTCAAATCCCTACCATTTTTGTTGGAGTTAGCCTTAAGAAATGGTCTTAGAATGTCTTAGCATTCAAGAAGCAGACTTGACCTACAAACCCATTCTGACCATTTTGGACCAATGACAAACTCCAAGGCCCGTTGTCATGGCAACTTGTGAATGGCCGATATCGCCGATATCCTAAAGATCTACCGGAGATCCGGGCCCAGCCACAGCATCTCTGCAGTTAAGAGTCAGCACGACCGTGAAATCTGGCAGACGTTGTGCCTGCGCGAACCAAGACAGCCAGTGGTCACGCGAAACGAGCCGAACCGCCCGCAGCTGTTGCTGTGGTGCCAGGACTCATTTTGCAGCCAGTCTTGGTGGTGCCATTTTTTTGCTGCTGAAGGGAGTTCATTGAGCAAGCGTCCTCATGCGTTGTTTTAGGGCAGGTTTCAAATTTTGGGATATGCAATTTCCATTGTTTGCCATGCAAACATCAGTAAGGGATAGATTTGACTACAATAAGACAAGCGAAGTTGAGACACGTCTATCTGTCGATATGCAATTATCAATCTATCGATCCAACCGGCTGTCAAAACCGATAGCCCCCCAATTCGTTTCAAAAGAAAAGGAAACCACATCCAGAAATGAACATTGACTGAATATCCCTGTTCTTGTCAAAACAATAGATAAGAAAAACAGAGGTTTCCTACAATCGCGGTGCCCCAAAATGGATGGTTTATAATGGGAAAATCCTATGAAAACGGATGATTTGGGGGTCCCCCCATTTCAGGAAACCTCCAAATGTTCTCCCAAAGATCCAAGTTGAAAACCCCATGCCCCAAACCATTCGCTTCCAACGCCGCGTTTCCGGGACGTAGCCTTCACCAACAAATTCTGCAGCGACCTCGCGGTTTTCATCTCCTCTGACATCTCCTTCACCAGGTCTCTGCCAAAAAGCCAAAGCCTACATCCTGGTATTTTACATGTGCATGTGCCTGCATATAGAACTTTATTGTAATGATATATATATATATATACAATGATACAAAACAATCAAACACGCGTAATGAAATATTGTTACATAATGATATGTAATGAAATGTAATCATATAAAAGGATCTAAAACAATACACAATAACCTGCACGTATATATGTTGATATATATGTATATATATAATTATATAATGATCAAATGATGCACAATAACATACAATGATATTTGTTAATATACCAGTAGTACCGGACGGCGGTGGCGGAAGTTTCAAAGATAGGAAACTATAGGAGAGCTGAGTTGTTGTGATGCATGGATGGCAGAGCGAATCCACTGATGGACCGAAGGTGGTTGTGATTTTTGGAGTGGTTGAAGTGGTCACCTCACCCACAACTGCAGGATGTAGTGTGGTGTCGCCTCACCCACAACTGCAGGATGTAGTGTGGTGTCGCGAAGTGCAATGTAGTTGTACTTGTAGTTGTACTTGTAGTTGTACTTGTAGTTGTACTTGTAGTTGTACTTGTAGTTGTAGTGTATAGTTGTAGTGTAGTGGTAGTTGTAGCTCTAGTTGTAGTCGTAGTTGTAGTCTAGTGTAGTGTAGTGTAGTGGTAATTGTAGTTGCAGTGGCAGTGGCAGTTGTAGGTGTAGTTGTAGTGTAGTGTAACCCCGGCCACGCGCCGGATTCTCACGACGCCAACCTGGGGATTTGCTGACCTAGATAATCACCACTACGATGCGGCGTCCTTCTATAGCTGCCGCACTATTATCATGCATTCCTATAGTGACTCTCTCTTTTTCCTCCTTTTATATTTTTATGATTTTTTAATGAAGTAAGCGTCAATTTGAATGTTTCCTATGCCTTACCCCCATCCTCCCTCACATCATTTCCGGGAGCCGGGGGGTTAGGTTGTTCAGTTGTCTTGCGTAGCCAATGCCTGATCCCAGAGAACTACGTAATTTCAGTGACGATGGTTTTGGTGGCTCGATTCCCCCGTTAGATGGTGGATTGGTGGATGGAAAATGTTAGCCCTGGGTTTTTTCTACGGCGGAATAAAAGCCTGCTAACCGTCCGCTATCGTCATCATTCTTAGGGTTGAGGAGTGGGTAGCAGATTCTTTTTTGCAGTAGTGCAATCGTATGGAAGAATGAGCAGTACTGAGCAATGAAGACGAGGCAATAAAGAAAAGTTAAAAACATGGCAATCCTTTGTTCCTTGGTGTGAACACTAATACGCCAACAAGATGACAACGATATTTTGTCTTTCGTTCTTTGATGACACTATAAGACTTCCAAAATGGGAACAATACTTTGTTCTTTGGTGACACTAATAGGCTTTCAAAATGGGAACAGTGTGTTGTTCTCTGGTGAGAATGCATGCATGCATGCATGCATGCATGAATGAATGTATGAACGTATGAACGTATGAACGTATGAACGTATGAACGTATGAACGTATAAATGTATGAACGTATGAACGTATGAACGTATGAACGTATGAATGTATGAATGTATGAATGTATGAAGCTATGAATGTATGAATGTATGAACGTATGAACTTATGAACGTATGAATGTATGAATGTATGAACCTATGAATGTATGGATGTATGAATGTATGAATGTATGAATGCATGAATGCATGAATGTATGAATGTATGTTATGTACGAATGTATGTCTGTGTACGTAATGTAATGTAATGTAATGTACGAATGTATGTCTGTGTATGTAATGTAATGTAATGTAATGTAAGGTGGGGTAATGTAATGTAATGTAATGTATGTAATGTAATGTATGTAATGTAATGTATGTAATGTAATGTATGTAATGTAATGTAATGTAATGTAATGTAATGTAATGTAATGTATGTAAGATAATGTATGTAATGCATCTAATGTATCTAATGTATGTAATGTGTGTACCCATGCACGCATGTACGTATGCACGTATGTACGCATGTACGTATGCACGTATGTACGTATGTATGTACGTATGTACGCACGGACGTATGTATGTATGTCAAGACAATGGAACCCATTGATGTGTATATACCTGCATATAGATACAGAATAACATAGAATGATATATGTTGATATATACTGATAAATGTTTATATACTATGTTGATGTATGTTGATATTTGCTGATATGTAATGATACATCATGATATGCAATGATACTATTGATACATAATGACATTTAATGACGTATAATGGTATATCATGATATATCATGATATACCATGATCTATAATAATATATATATATAATGATATATATAATGATATATATATATATAATGATATATATATATATAATGAGAAATAATGACAAATAATGATATGTTATAGAATGATATATATATATAACGACCAATAATGATAAATATGTACATGTAGTTTTGATTTAATATATGTGTATGTGTACACATGTGTATATATATATATACATATCACGGCATATGATGATATATCAACATGTCTCGCCGCCCCTCATGTTTGTTGAGAGGCCAGGCCAGAATTTTCTTGAGCGCTAGAGTAAGGCAGCACTTGGCGGTTCTTGGTCGTGTTATGGTTAGGTATGAAGCTATGGAGACTATCAAATGACTATCACAACTCTTAGACTTCGACTAAGTATCAATATATGACTATTCTCATATTTCCAATATATGATTATCAAATGATTATCAAATGACATATATGGGACTATCTCATATTTCCAATATGTCCCATATGTGCCCCATATATGTCCCATATATGTCCCATATATTTCCCCATGTTTTCGATCCTTCCCACGCCCCAAAAAAGGAGGTCGATCGGGAAAATCAGCACACAATTTTTTTCGAAAAAGAACACGCCTCCCAGCGAAGCTGCCGATGGCCATAAACATATAATATACATAACGATACAACATGACATATATATATACATACATACATATATATATGTATGTGTGTTAAAGATACCTATCATAGATAGATCATTGAGATATCATTGAGATATCATTGAGATATCATAGACGAAGGTCCTCATCCTTCAAATCTCCAAACCAGGTGCCGTCGAGAATGCAGGCACCACCTGGATGCCATTTGATATCTGGAAGCTCTGAGAAAACTCAATGAAATTCATGGGAAAATATATCTTATATATATATAATTTTATATATATATATATAATTTTATTTATATATATATAACATGGAGAAACATATGGGCAAATATGGGCAAATCATCGAAAAAAATGTGGGAAACATATACACATATCGTTAAGATCGTCAAAATATGATGATTCAACTCCTATCATGTCTGATTATCACTGAAATCCTCGTCAACGGTTGTTGTTTCTTATTTTTACTGCGTAAATCCCTGCAGTTAAATCACTGGCTGGTACTTTTTACTCATCTGAAAACAACGTTTGTCGATGGAATCATCAACTCAAACATGGTTGAAAATAAAGAGTTGAAAGCAGCAACCCGAAATGGTCATTTAAAACACGAGATTCACAGTTTGTTCAAACAATGGTTTTAGGTTTCAATAAAGCTAATCAAGAGTTATGTCCAAGACAATCCTTATTCAGAAATTGCTAAGAAATGCTCTGAAACAAGGAGGTACACTGAAAAATGAGGTACAGAAAGCCAGGAAGCCGGAGATGAACGAGCTCTGTGGAGCCCCCGAAGCGAGCAAACTGCCAAAGAATGTACGCATCGTCCAGCAGCTATTGGGTTGCTAGGGAACTTCATTTTTGAACGATGATCATTGGATTGGTTGAAAGGAAAATTTCACCGGAGACCCCGTCATATTTGATGTAGTAAAACCCATGGTTTCCAGTTAAGATGTTCCCAACTAAACCAATCCATTGAAATGATGATCTCATGAGATGCTTCAGGCAAGCAGCAATGGGGTCCCAGAGAATCCTTCATGGCCATGACAAAGAGTTCCTGCGCACGGAGATGGCGTATGCGAAAGCTATGCTCCGTCTTGAGGCAATGAAAAATTGGTTGGTTCATTTTAGTTGATGGCTAGTGAGTTTTCCCAGTAAAAATGCTGATTTTCCATTGTTATGTTAGTTTACCAGAGGGTAAACAAGAAGCTATGCTGGTTTGAACAGCTTCATTGAGCCCAATTGCTCCATTAGAAGTTGACTGGCTGGTGGTTTCGACCGCCCTGATTGCTGGTTGTGTCGCCATTTACTGCTGGTTGTTGCATGTAAAAATATCCCTATGAGAGTTGTTTAACACTCCCTGTGTCTCATACACAAATACATAGATACATAGATGCATAGATGCATAGATGCATAGATAGATGGATAGATAGGATAGGATAGGACAGAACAGAACAGGACAGGATAGGATAGGATTCCACGACAGGATGAAGTAAGAC